ATGTCGGCAAGATTTTTGCATATAACTCAATTTTGTTTACCCATACAAAATGACAATCTTGAGATTTACTCTTGAGAAAAAGCCATTTATAATATAACAGTGTAATTTATGACTTGAAATTTATATGCGTTATGTGAAAATCAATAAAGGATGAAATGAGACATTAAAAATCAAGCGTTAGAAATGCGTTCTGATAATTAAACGACAGGATTTGCAATACGTCTGAAAAAATTCATATTTTAAGAGAATATTTGGCACGTTCAGAAAAATAAAACAATAGGTGATAATATTTGACGTACAAGTTTTGGTCGAGCGGTAGTCTCCAATAAGGGTGAGAGAGAGAGAGAGGGGGGGGGGAGGGGAAGGAAAGAATGGTTTATTACGGGTTTGCGGTAATTCAACCGAAATCCCGCAGCCGCTCGTTCCGGCGATCGGAAGTAAATCAGCGAGCAGTAGTAATAGAAGTTGCGATTAGTCGAGCGAACGTGACGCATGAGCGTGACCTCGCTAAGAACCTTCCTTTTCTTTGCGCGCAAAACGGCCTCATTCTACTTTGCATTTCCCATCATATGGCTCTTTGGCCCGCTCGTTTCTTCATGCTCCTTCGTTTCTCTCTGTTCGCGCTCTTTTCCTCGAGAGAAGTGTTCTTTCTTCCAAGCCGATGTTCCCCTCTCTCTCTCTCCTCCCTCTCTCTTCTCTCTCTCTCTCTCTCTCTCTCTCTCTCTCTCTCTCTCTCGATCCTCTCTTTTCTCGCTCAGTGCTTCCCCATCTCTCTCCCATCCTTCTTCAACCCTTCGCTCTTTTCCACCTCCGTTTCTCCTCTCTCACTCTCCGCCTCTCCTCTCTATCAATTATTTTTCTCTCTTCGGAGCAGTGGACCGCGTAACGAGCAACGTAAATCAATCGGCTGGCATTGTGGCTTCGTTCCTTCGACAGTGGCTCTCGATCTTTGCATCGGAACGATATGTGGAGCCAGTTCCATCAAGCTGAAATCACTCCTATATTCTATCTTTTTCGTATCGATGCTCGGATATTACTCTTTTACCTTTGAATTTTGTCCAAATTATTGGCCTAATTAATTTTATATGTTAGTGTAATTACGAGATTATTTATGTAAAATTGTTTTAATATATCTAAATAAAAAGGAGGGAAACTTTCAAATTATAAAAAGAGTATACGATTAAGTTTATTAGCACGTTAAAGCTTGTAATAATAATAGAAATTGTGACAATTGCTTCAAGTTTTATTCAGTCTCTTCAATTTCTCACACTTTGTTATAATACATATACGTAGGATATGATTAATCATAATAGTTATTGTAACTGAATATATCTTTAACGAATGTCAATGGATGTCAATGATCAATCACTTGGCAATTATGAGCTTTGAAATTTTTTTCGGATACTTTTAAGCACACTTTCTATTAGATTCAGTAATTTTAAGAGACAATAAATAAATTGTCTATATTGAATATTGTCTTTTTGTCTACATTTATTTAATAATTAATAATTAATAAAATTATTGAATATATGACGATAACAAGTGTTGAAAAAAATATCATAAATTCTCAAACGATGATCGATGTGTTAAATAATCTTTTGTGCGAGCGGTTTGATCGACCGAATATTTAATGAAATTTATATCATTATTCATTCGTCATTAATTTAGATTTTTTTCGAGTTTCTCCTATCGGTACATTGCAGAATTTGCGAATCGAACGATTACGACTCGAAATCGGACTGTCGCGAGACTAGAAAGGAAAAAAAGAAGAAAGAGTAGGACGAAGGGTTAAACTCTTGGGGGAGAAGAGGGTGGAGATGAGAGCGATCGTTGGTTACGATCGTGGAGGATGAGAGATATCTTCGACCAGAGCCATGCGAAGTTGAGCATCGTTTTGTCCCGGTTTTCTACTACGTGCCGAACGCTTTAAGGGACCTGCCTACTTTCCGAGACGAGGACTCGCCGGTTTCCTGCGGAAATCGAATATTTTCAACGGTATTTTCCTCAACTCTTCTGCCTCGCGGTCGCGAGAGGAAGGAGGAAAAAAAAAAGAAGAAAAGTGAGAAAGGTATCATCTTCTGACCCATGCAACCAAAGTTTCGTTCGTAACTTCTTTCATCGCTTGTACCTGTTCGCCGAACAATCTTTCCTTCGTACAAGATGCACAGCGTTTATGACCCCAACGCGTTTTTCTGATCAATAATTTTCCTTCTTTATATTATATAGAGAGATACGTTATAAATTATATTTTTTTATATTCTTTGTTTTTCTTGTTAATTTTTGTTAATTCTTTATATTTATTTACGAGTATTTAATTGTATATTCATGCTTTAATTTACGTTATGAGTATTTTTTATTGTTGCGCCTATTAGTAAAGCGTCATAAAGAGTCATCGTGCTGTAAAGTCTCGATCTTAAGAAATATTTGACACGGGCTATAAAGTGCTTAATGTGGTCTCTCGGGAAGGAGAATATGCCGAAGGATAAAATACGAAATTACAAGTACTTTACGTGAACGTTATTTAATGGTATGTCTCGTGTAGATGGCAGAAATAGGAGATGTTAAGGAAGAGAAAAGGGGGCACTTTTTAAAATGGTTGCTGATAATAAGATGAAATTACACATTTTCGTAAGCATTTATTACGCTACGAGTTTATCGTAATTTAATTAGTTTAAGTCTTATATCATTTTAAGTTAAATATTTTAATAGAGAAAAATTGTTTACTGTAATTTAAATATATCAGATCAAAAAGTCGAAGAAAAGGAGCCAATCAAATTTTCAATCAAGTTTGGATTTTCAAAATAAATTCTCCGTTGAAAAAGAAGTTGTAGAAGCAAAGGAAAATTGCACTTTTTGCTGCGCACTTTTTGTGTTTTGCGTTACACCGATTCGTTGCAATTTGTATAAAATGTATGAGAAGGAAATAACCGTCTCTCTCTCTCTCTTTACGGCGTACGGCATGTCATTAATTCAGCGAAATTATGCGATAGCGCTTCGACGAAAATAAATAATTTATATCGTGCACCGTGCACATTTGACTCCGGTTATAAACTGATTATGGCGCGCACCCCCGGTGAGGTGTACGTGCCGAAGAAAGAAATACGAAATTAAAAGCGTTTTATGTGAGCCAGGCTTAATGCCATGCCTCGCGATCTATGAGGGAGGATGAATAGGGCAGTGAGAATAGGGGAGCGGTAAGAGCGAAGATAAAGAGGGATGTCAGGTGGAGGCAGAGGAAAGAAGGGAGTAGACGAGGCTGGTTTACGTAAGGTTCATGGGGCCGGACCTCGTTTCGGTTTGACTCGAGTATGCGCCCGGACGACTCGACGTCGAAGCCGGGAGTCTTTTTTCTCTTCTTTCTCTCCTTCTTCCTCGTCCTTTCTTTTTTTTTTTTTTTTTTTATATTCCTCCTTTCCCTCGACTCCCTCCTCTCGTCCATCAACTTGCTCTTCTCGTATCTAGTTTCCGCCTCACCTTCGTTAACTTGGCCGCTTAATGCGATTTTCGGATCTCGCAGCGATTTCATCCTGGAGCGACAGTCTCGCGATTTGCCCGGGGATTTTTTTTGAAGCCTCGCTTGTATTAATTTCAAGTTGATCCACCGAGAGGAGTGGAACTTGCCACTTGAACTTTTCTGTTCTATTCTGCGATTTGAAATATTGATTTCTTTGTTTTTAAATTGTAATATAATAGAACTGTCTTTTAACATTTTTCAAATAAAAAAATGTAATATTTAATTGATCACGAATATATAAGAATGATTTTCAGTGGCTTTCAATGGTATGGAAGCTTTTGGTAGTCAAAAAGATGTGCTTCTGAACTGAATGTTTATGATGATTCTTTATTTTCAATAGAAACATCTTATTTTTTTAACATTTTTTTCAAATAAAAAAATGTAATTTATATTGTAATTGATGGCGAATTTTGAGCACGGGTATATAAAAATGGCTTTCAGTAATGCCATCGGAGTTTCTGAATCAAAAAGATGTGTTTATTGAAATGACGTTTATGATGATTCGGCGGGGTTTCGAGGGCATGTCAGATCGCGGACGAATAGCTTTTCGACGGTTCGCCCAATCGACTGTCTCGTCGAGACGGAATATTGATGTCGGTGTTTTGATTCGCCTCGCGCGCGCAGCGCAAGGTAAATTCGTCAAATCCACGATTTGGCGGCGATGAATTCGCGGGATTAAATTATCACAAAAAAAAAGCCGGGTGTGTATCCGTGCACGCGGGAATTTGCGCAACGTTCGAGATGCCCACTCTTTTCGCTGCGTTCAATTATTCCGACGCGCTCGGCTGACTAAATCGATTACTCGTTTCGCTCGTAAAACGAAATTACGAATGACGGCTGCGTAATAGCCACATTACATTACTGCCTCGTTAGGGCGTGGACGAGTAACTGATCAGCTTCGAGTGCTTCTGCGTCAATTTCTTCTCGAGCGCTACCGAGATCTTGCTCGATCTTGCGACCGAAACCGACTTTACTCGGCTCGTTCACAATAATTCACTTTACCCAAGTAGTAGAGTACATTGAACACGAACATTTTTTGGAATCGAATCCTTAGACACGAATTGCTCTCAAGCTTTCGTGACTTTCAATGGAAATCACGTTTTCTCTATTTCGTAAAAATACGTGGGCGACTCTTTATTATTTATTCCTTGTAGAGATAACTTTTTAGTTCGAGAACACACATTTTAAGCGCTGTCGATTAAGTTGAAAAATGCGCGACAATGATTTTTCGCGATGCGCTCGTAAGCCCGGGGATAAACACTATTACGCTATTCTAAAGGGGGAGAAATTGCATCCTGGGAGCGTAATAATTTACTCAGGCGATCACTTGTAAGATGGCGCCCGGCAGAGAAGCCTAATATACGTAAAGGTAAAGATATACGGACTAAGCGAATAACAAATCAACAGCGAATAGTGATCTTTAGTCGCCGTGCGTTCGATTGTATTGTTGTTTCCTTACTCGGGATTGAATATACAATATTTAATATTTTTATTTAAAACATTTTTATTTGTTTAAGGGAAACCCGTACGCATGGGTATATATCGAATAATACAAATACAAATACATTTGGTAATTCGCATTTATCGTATTCGCTCGCTTGATTTGATTTCACGGCGAGTCGCCTCGCTAGCTCGAGACGATAAGAGAGAGTATTAACGGGGACACAGAGGGTTATTTCGTGTGATAGGATAAGGCGGGGGTGTTAAATAGGCCGCGTTACTCGCCATTACTTGCAATTCTCTGTCATTAAACATGTCTACCGTTCGCCACCCTTGTTCTCTTTCTCTCGCAATTTGTACAGCGCATCCTTAAGTCCTCGTCCTCGTTCCTCGCTCCTCAATCTCGTCCTCCTCTTTGTCCCTCGACTCGGCTTCTCCGTCCTTCTCCCGCTTCTCTTTCCACTTTCCGTCACGGCCCCGCCCTTATTATTACTCTTTTTGCTCTCAAACCTGCGCCGCCGAATTCGCCCTTGAGACTCCATATTCACCAACTCTTTCTTTCACCGTCGAGTCTGTTAAAGAAAAATTTGCATAGTTTACTGAGTTGACAATTACTCCGAACGAATCACATAGCGAAAGAAAAGCATATGTATATTCATCTGCTCTTCATTACTCATTCATTTATGATTCATGTCAAAAGATAAATAAAGAGAAACATGTAGTGTTATACTTAATGAGTCCTTCCGTAAAATATATTCAAAATTCAAGATGTATATTTGACAGATGCATGCATCGGTATTATTATTTCCTTTTGATGATGTTTTAAAAGAAAAAAAACTTGTTTAATCATATACAATTTCCTTGATATTATCAGATTTATTTTTAATAATTTATTCACACAAGATAAGAAGGAATTGTTGAAATTTAGCTCGAGCTCGATTAATCGAGAATGCTGTTGTTTGTATCAAGACGTTTCCTACGAACGTCGCTTTTTTCGTCTTTTTTCCAATTTCTCATATCTTCTCCGCGTGTATGTCGCTCCTTTTCTCCTTTTCGGTCTCTTTTCTCTTTATTCCGCATACCCGCAGTTCGTCTTTTATCGCGCTCCCTCGCTGCTGGAACAAATAGGAATTTCAGCGGGCGGTGACGGGCCCGTAAAGCGCAACAAGTTGAGCTCCGGGCTGTATCACAAAAAATATTTAGGAATTAAGGGGACGCGAAATCTTATATTTGTTTCGTGGATAATGAGGATCCTGCCGGACGAATTTAAGGAAAGAATAATGTACCTCACGCCGGGAATCTAATTTCGCATATTATCTTTCATGTCCAATGTCCACCGTCACAACGAAATGGGAAGTAGAAGAAATCTTCGGTGATGACAAATTAACTCTGGTTCTCCTCCTTTGATGAAAACCTATTGGAAGAATTAATTGTTAAGATACACTCTGAACCGAGTAATTAATAAAGAAGGATAAAATTTTGTTCTTTAGTTAGTTAGTTCCAAGTTGAGTCGGCGCTTTAATGTGAAACGTGAGATTAGCTCATCAAGATTTAATGCAGAGAATTAAAAGCTTATAGCAAGTAAACGCCTCGGATAATATCTTTTCTCTCCGAGAAGAAAGGACCACTTCGGCCTTATCGGAAGATTAAAATAATGATTTTTTTACCATTCCATCGTCACATATTTTAGTTTTCAGGATACACTTTTAATCTCGAGACACTGGACACTCGCTCGCGAGATCTCATTTTTTTTCCGTTATCGTTCAGAAACGAAGATCAGAGTAAGTCGTCGACTATTCTTGCTGTACGAGAGCAGAGTTGGATGTTTACTTGATGCGGATATTGCAATTACAAGGGTGGTACGTGGGCGACGTGGGCGTTAATGTAGATTACGGCGCCCGACGCCGTGGAACGCGTTTAAAAGATCATGAAGAGCGAGCGACTTGTTTTTTCCTTCCACCGGTATTTCCTTCTTTACGTCGTTCCTGGTTTATTCTCTCGCCCGCTTCTCCATTTTCGATGTTCGAACGACGAACGACCGAGCCGCGAAAGTATCTCGTCGCGCTGAAACGACTCGCGAGACGTCGCCGAATGCTCGTAAAAACGCACAATACGTACTCGACTATACTCCCGGCGATGCTTATGATGGTATCGAAATGCTCGAGGTCTTATCTCGAAGTAACGATGCGCGTGCTTTTGATAGCGCGTTATTTTTTGGCGTCGATTTTTATCCTTAATATTAGACCAGAGATAGTGTCTCGATAGTAATATCATATATTTTCTAAATATGATCGATAGCTTCTGGAATCCTTTGAATATTATTATGTCGCTATTGTTTATTCATTAGTTTACGATTGTTATCTTCTTCTTGGTGAAAATTTTCAGCTTTGTAATTAGGATTAACTTGAAATGAAATGAAGAGTAGTGTGTTCTGTGTGTTCCACGTAACATCGATTTACACTTGAGTTTTAGCTCAATTATCGCGCGGCTCTTTGTTTTCAATTGATCATAATGCAAGAATTATTTAGACATTTTCGTTGGAAAAGACTCGACTCGACTCGCGCGATTGTCTGATGACGCGTCCGTGAGGAGACGAGAGGTGGGGTAGCGGAAACGGGACACCCCCCCGTACGGAAATTCCTCCTGGGACATGTATTGCAGCTCGAAACGGTCGGCTGTACGCGTAACATCAGCGCATTCCGACCATTAATTTGTCGTGTTTTGTCACTGCCTGCGCATCGCACCGCACCGCACCGCACCGCACCGCACCGCACCGCA